ATGCCCTTTTGCCTTTTTGGTTGGGGTCTGGGCTTCGCTTATACAGCATTTAGGGTTTAGGGTTTAGGATTCAGGGTTTGGGGTTTAGGGTTTAGGGTTTAGGATTCAGGGTTTAGGGTTTAGGGTTTAACCAACAACATAAAGGACACCCTGATTGGAATATGATGACTGGGCTACCAAGCTAAATGGTCAGTTTTCCACTGATTCCAGGGCAGATGAGCAGATCTGAGTCTGGGCTTTGATGTTTCCGGTTTGGGGTTCAGGGTTTCAGGGCTTATCCCCTTATCCCCCTAAACCCTAAACACACCCGCAACTCCAAACCCTAAGCTCTGCACCCTACGCCTTAGACCCCAAGCCCTGGCGTGCCCCGGGAGATCTTGCTGGGGTTGGAGGTTGGGATTCGGGACAGGCGCTTCGCCCTTGGTTTAGGGTTTAGGGTTAGGGTTTAGGGTTTGGGGTTTGGGGTTTGGGGTTTAGGGGTTCCGGTTTAGGGTTCAGTTCGTGCGGCCCTGGAAGCCCCCTACCGGGTGTAGGGGTTCGGGCTTTAGGGTGTATGGGGGGGGGGGGGGGGGGGGCTCGGCGAGGCCACCCTAAACTCTAAGCCACGAATACTACCGCCCTGAGGCCGGAACACCCAATTCTGGGGGAGATCCAGCTTTAGGGCTTCTTTGGGGCTTACGACTGTAGGGCGTTAGACCCGAGCTCCATTGGGTTCTTACTTATTCTGAGGCCCCTGGCTACACCGACCCAGACTTGGCCCGTATTCCCCCCTTTTTAAGGGTTAGGGTTTAGGGTTTAGAGTTGAGGGTTTAGGGTTTAGAAGAAAGGCACCCTTTTTGTTCCGAGGTTCCTGAATTGGGAGTAGTTTATAAAGCCCCGATATTTTACGCTGGAGGGGGTTGTGCTTGAGGGTTAAGGTTGCCTTAGAAGCCCCTTCTTGAACCAAGCCCCTTTTTAATCCCCGGGTCTACTCTAAATCCTAAGCCCTAAGCCCTAAACCCTGAGCCCTAAACCCTGAACCCTAAACCCTAAGCCCTAAGCCCTAAACCCTAAACCCTAAGCCCTAAACCCTAAACCCTAAACCCCAAGCTACCTATTGTCTGCCAACTCAACTCGCCAGGATTTGGACATGGTCGCAGGGGAGCTGCGTGTGCGAGGGGCCGCTTGGATGTTACAGGTTTTACAGAGAGTGTTCAGCCACCGATAGAGGGCTTAGGGTTTAGGGTTTAGGGTTTAGGGTTTAGGGTTTAGGGTTTAGGGTTTAGGGTTTAGGGTTTAGGGTTTAGGGTTAGGTTTAGAGTTTAGGGCCTTGGGGTTTAGGGTTCAGGGTCGTTTTGGGCAGTCAGGGCGAACCTGGCGCCCAAGCAAACGCAAGCACGCCCGACTAAACCCCAAAAACCTAAAAGGTGCAGGGAGGACAACTCTTTGAGTGCGCGGAAAACTTCCCGTGCCCGTCTCAGTGCAGTTCCGGGAGTATGGGGAGTTGGGGGAGAGCTGAGCCGCCAGTCTTTTTAGGGTTGGAGGGTGTAAGGTTGAGGGTTTAGGGTTTAGGGTTAAAGAGAACGTGAAGCATGTAGTTTTTGTTGCAATATGGCTCTACAGGGAGTAAAGTCATCGGGTTGGGGGGGTGGCTTCCGGATTCCGGGCTTCTGCCAAAGACCAAAGCAGCCGCCTGGTTTGCTCTCAGTGGCTCCGAACATCTTCCCGGAGCCTCTGTAGAGGAGCTGAGGATTCGGGAACCCTTAAACCCTAAACCCCCAAACCCTAAGCGCCCTTAAAACCCTAAACCCCAAACCCTAAACCCCCAAACCCTAAACCCCTAAGCCCTTAAACCCCAAACCCCTAAGCCCCTTCAAGCCCTCGCCTGAGGAAGCTGATCGCAGCCGTCGAGCCCAGCACCCGCAGCCCCAAACAGCAAGATTCCAAGCCCTTTATAGCCCTAAACTTAAAAACCCCTCAACCCGAAAAGCCCGAAGCCTTCAACCACCCTAAATACACCCTGAACTCCCTGAAGGCCCGCAGAATCTCCCTAAACCTTAAACCTTACACCCTAAACCCTAAACCCTAAACCCTAAACCCCAACAAGAATCGGACCGCCTCTGGGATCGAACTTACAGGATCAGCTCGATCTGGGGTTTAGGGTTTAGGGTTTAGGGTTTAAAGGGGTTGGAAGGGTTGGAAGGGTTGTAGGGGTTGTTCAGACACGATGAGAAGCCTCAAACGCAGGTGCGGGATGGATGTTCTTGGCTTCGATCTCGCGACCTCCCATGCGATCCAGGCTTGCCCTTTTCGGAGGGGCCAGGACCAGGGGTGGTGGGGGACCCATGTTTAGGGTAGGGTTCAGGGTTCAGGGTTTAGGGTTTAGGGTTTGGGGTTTAGGGTTTGGGGTTTAGGTTTTAGGGTTTAGGCTTTAGGGTTTAGGGTTTAGGACCTTTAGGGTTATAACCCCCCCCCTCCCCTCCCTCCCCCCTGCCCCCTACCCTACCCTCGAGACCCCTCAACGTAGAACCTTCAGTTGCTCCGGTTTTTTGCAGGCCGTGGCCCTGAACGGCACGTGCGGCGTGTCACCGGGCATCTCGGAGGTGCATTTTTTTCCCTCCCAGAGGGCGCCGGGATTGGGCTTGGGGTTTGGGGTTTGGGGTTTAGGGTTTAGGGTTTTAGGGTTTAGGGTTGAGGGTTGAGGGTTTAGAGTTTATTAGGGTTTGGGGCTTTTGGGCTTTGGAGTCCTCTCGAAGGGTACTTTCATGGGCCCTTAATATCGTCCCTTACCCTTCAAGAAATCGCCAAAGTGGTGGACGGACCATCGCAACTCTCCTTTAAAGGATGCTGATGTACTGTAAGGGCGCTTAAATTTTATGGGGTATACAAGGGGTCTATAAGGGGCACTTTTTTGAGGGCCCATACCAAGGGGGGATGGGATCTTTCGATGCAAGTGTGTGGACATGCTCTCTCCAAGACTGGCCAAAGACCTCCTTACAGCACCGACATCAAACCTAATCCCCCACCCTCTTCTAGATGCAAGGCCGGTCGCAGACCTGTCACCCCCAAATACTCTCTCTCTCTCTCTCTCTGTCTCTCTCTCCTCTCAGACTCAGAAGGCTCTGTTTTCTAGATTCTCCCATGCATTTGCTGGTTTGCTTTCTGGCATTTTCTGTATCTACCACTTTGTTGTCTATAGTTAATTCGTTCGTTATCTGTTTCTGTCGTTCTTGTCATTTCGTTAGTTTTCGTTCTTCCTTTAGGGTGTGGACGGGATGCACACGCTCTCGCCAGCTCAGGGCGAGAGCGTAGCATTCTCACTACAAACCGTATACCCACAGTTGCTGGTCCGGCAGGGCTTTGGTAAGCTATACATTCGGGAGTTTAGGGTTTTAGGGTTTTAGGGTTTGGGGTTTAGGGTAAAGGGTCGGTAGGTCAGTAGGTCCTTGCGGATTAAGGGAAAACTTGTCGCGTGCAGATCAACGTCTTCAACCCCCGCGTTGTGGTCACCGGCGAGGTCGCCTGCAGGGGTACGTGACTAGATTGGGATTGAAGAGTTACGCCGCCCAGAATCTCAATACCATATCCGGTGACTTCTCAAAATGATGGTCCCTTTTTTGGGTACCCTAGATAAAGGGGCCGGCTTATAAGGGCCTTCTCATAAGGACCACAAAAGGGACCATTAGTTTAGAGAAGTGGCCGGGCTTGAGGTCGTGGCGTTTAAAGATGCTATGAGGTCTTGGGGCCGCATCCCTTAGGGTTTAGGGTTTAGGGTTTAGGGGTTAGGGTTTAGGGTTTAGGGTTTAGGGTTTAGGGTTTAGGGTTTAGGGCCCAATTCTTGGCCCTGAACCTGCAAACCCTACCGATCCGGAGCAACCCCTTGTTCCCTTCTTGAGGGTTTGGGTTCCCTTACAAGACCCTTTAGGGTTTAGGGTTTAGGGTTTAGGGTTTAGGGTTTAGGGTTTAGGTTTAAACCAAAAAAAGGGTGCCCTGTCTGTTCCCAGGTTACTCTTGGCCTAGCTAGCCCTGGTAAAGCCCGAGTTTTGTTTTGCCAAGGCTGGTTTGGGGTTCAGGGCCCCATACCCGAAACCCTAACCCCAAAATAGGGTTTAGGGTTTAGGGTTTAGGGTTTAGGGCTTAGGGCTTAGGGCTTAGGGCTTAGGGCTTAGGGCTTAGGGTTTATGTTCCTTCTCTGCAGCCTGGCTTTGCGGCCCCGTGGTTTCTGTACTTAGCACACGCTGCGATGGCTTTTCGCACGCCGCTGCTGCTGCTGGTCAGCCTTGGCCACACGCTTGCCACTTGCTTCGGCCAAGCCCCTACACCCTACAAAGCCACAGGATCCTAAAGGCCCAACCACCCTGAGCCCTAGCCCTAAACCCTAAACCCTAAACCCTAAACCCTAAACCCTAAACCCTAAACCCTAAACCCTAAACCCTAAACCCTAGACCCTAGACCCTAGACCCTAGACCCTCAACCCTAACTAAACCCTAAGCCCTAAACCCATCCTACAGGCCCCAAACCCTAAAACCCGCAAACCCTGAGGCCCTCACAGTTTAGCACCGATTTGTCAACCCCAAATGTCAAACTCCAAACACCCTAAACCCTAAACCCTAAACCCTAATCCCTAAACCCTAAACCCAGAGCTCTCAGTCCCGAAGCCCCTAAACCCTCAAGCCCCAGCAAACCCAAAGCCCTAGGCCCTAAACCCGCAGGCCTCAGGGGTCCAGCATTCAGGGTTCAGGGTCTAGGGTTTTGGGGTTTTAGTTTTTATAAAAACCCTCATTCAGGGTTCAGGGTTTTGGGGTTTTAGGTTTTAGGGTTTAGGGTTCAGGGTTCAGGGTTCAGGGTTCAGGGTTTTTTGGTTTAGGGTTCAGGGTTGAGGGCTTTAGAGTTTTTGGGCTTTAGGGTTAGAAATGCATGTACAGCACGAGATTGCTGACAGCCTTATCTCTAACCGCGGACTAGGTAGAAATTTAGAACTTTAGGGTTTTGGCTTAGGGTTTGAAGCCAAGCCCGGCAAGGCAACCTGGACAGACGCCAGCAAGCCGCTGACGCAGGAGGAGATCCGAACAGCCTTCGACGGACACTTCTGCTGGGGGGGGCCTGAGACAAAGAAACCCCTGGAGTTCATAGGGTGTTCATAGGGTTCATAGGGTTTAGGGTTTAGGGTTTAGGGCTAGGGGAACCCTAAAACCCCTAAACCTGAAGCCCCCCCCCCAAACCCTGAGGATTCAAACTCTACTTCGGCCGTCGCTACGCGGACGAGACAGAGGAGGCGCGGCGACTGGAGATCTTCAAGGAGACCCTGGAGACTGTGCGAGCCCTGCCTGCCTCGAAGGATTTGAGGGCTTTCAGGGTTATAAGGGTTTTTAGGGTTTTTAGGGTTTTTGGGGTTTTAGGGTTTTTAGGGTTTTAGGGTTTTTAGGGTTTTGGGGTTTTAGGGTTTCTAGGGTTTAGGGGAACCCTAAACCCTAAACCGGGCCATGGGCCCTCAGGGACCATGTGATTACCAACACCGGTCAGTGGTTCTTTCTGTTCGGCTCAGTGCGCTTACGATGTGTTTAAGGGTTTCGGGGCTACTAGGGTTTTAGGGGTTAGGGCCTCGGGTTCTGCGTAGCCTTTCGACACTGCCTTTTGCTGCTTTGGAGCGTTCCTTGTGTAGTCCCAATCGTTTGATACTCAAACCCTAAACCCTAAACCCTAAACCCTAAACCCTAAACCCTAAACCCTAAACCCCTAAACCCCTAAACCCCTAAACCCCTAAACCCTACAAGGTTCCATCCAGCATGCGCACACACCGGAACCCCGAAACTCCGAATTCTCGGACCTGGACCGGTGCAACTTCTCTTCCGAACTGGTTTAGGGTTCTTCCCTTTTTCAAGCCAGGATCCCCTGTAAATCTCACTGAACCATAACAGGTGCCCTTTTTCTCCTGGGTTGCCGGAAAACTTAGCAGTCTGCCCACACTATAGGCTATGAGTTGGGATGTCCCCTTGTGCTGGCCGTCCTTGATGGGATTATAATCGGGGTACTACAGTCCTTATGCAGGACTGGTAGTATAAGGTAGAAATAAAGGGAACATCCCAAGTTATGAGTATGATGATAAGTCTCTGTATATAGGATCCTTAGGCAAACTCGAACGGATGTTTAGGGCTTTGGAGGCTGTTTCAGAAGCCCCCACAGTAGGCCCTTATTCCCTTTTGAGGGGGGCTGAGGTAAAACCAACAAAGGGTCTCTGCCATTCCTTGGTTACTCTTCCGAACCCTAAACCCTAAACCCCAAACCCCAAACCCTAAACCCTAAACCCTAAGCCCTAAGCCCTAAACCCTAAACCTTAAACCCTAAACCCTAAACCCTTGCTTCCAGTTTTCGGAATTTCGCTGCCTCCCAAGGACAGCACAATGCCGACCAGCAGCGCAGCTGGGACATGGGTCTCAACCAGCCCCTGGCTAGCGTTTGCTTGGGGTCTTGGGGGTTTAGGGTTTAGGGTTTAGGGTTTAGGGTTTAGGGTTCAGGTTTCAGGGTTAGGGTTTAGGTTCAGGTCTCAGGGTTAGGGTTTAGGTTTAGGATTGAGGGTCTAGGGTTTAGGGTTGAGGGTTTCGAGTTTCGCTTCCTCTAAACCCCCGAAACCCCGCAACCCGAAACTTGGGAGATGCGGGTCCTGGACTGGTTTCAGAGCTTGGGTTTAGGGTTTAGGGTTTAGGGTTTAGGGTTTAGGGTTTAGGGTTTAGGGTTTAGGGTTTAGGGTTTAGGGTTTAGGGTTTAGGGTTTAGGGTTTAGGGTTTAGGGTTTAGGGTTTAGGGTTTAGGGTTTGGTTTCAGAGCTTGGGGCTGCAGGGGCATGACGACTGCCCCCTAAAATCCGCCGCCTCCCCGTGCCTCTGCCCCCCGAAAGCTCCGAACGCCCCCACCCACGCACACCCCTACAGGGTGGGGCCCCCTAGTTATAAGTAGAGTTATAAGGGCCCTAAATTGGGTTATAAGGACCCTAAGTTAGGTTGTAAGTCCCTTAACTACAGTTAGTATAGTAAGGGGGCCCCACCCTGTACACCCCACCCCCACCCCCGCCCCTAAAATAGCCAAACAGAAAGCTCACTCCCCCTCTGCCCCAGAAAGCAACAAGAAGTACAAAGTCTCCTGGAGCCTTCGAAGGAAATCCTCCAAGCCGTCAAAAACTCAAGCAAAAACCCCAAAACTACCGCACAACCCCTACTTGAAGGTTCGTGGGTAGGGTTATACGTACCCTAAGAAAGCTTAGAACCATAGTTCCCCTACTTCTAACCCTACTTACTACCCTCAAACCCGAAACCCTAAACCCTAAACCCTACTTGCAAGCACCCGTGAACCTCCAAGTAAGGTTCTCGGACATGAGTGACTCCGAGTTCACCGCCAAGGTCCTGATGGCGCCACAGAACCTTCGCAGCTAGGGCTTAGGGTTTAGGGTTTAGGGTTTAGGGTTTAGGGTTTAGGGCTTAGGGCTTAGGGCTTAGGGTTTAGGGTTTAGGGTTTAGGGTTTAGGGTTTAGGGCTTAGGGTTTAGGGTTTAGGGTTTAGGACTTCTTTTTGTTCCAGGGTGCGGGATCCTAAGGAACTGCTCGGCCACGTCTGCAGGCCTGTCTCCCATGGTGGCGCTTCGGGCTTAGGCTGTGGGATTGAGGCAGGGTTTAGGGTTTAGGGTTTAGGGTTTAGGGTTTAGGGTTTAGGGTTTAGGGTTTAGGGTTTAGGGTTTAGGGTTTAGGGTTTAGGGTGCGGGATCGAGGCGCCCCTAAACCCCTAAAAGGCCCTGGGTTCGTGGGCCATGGGTGCTTATAAGTAGGGTTATATAAGTACCCTAAACAAGGTTAGAACCATAGTTACCCAACTTATTCTCAGAGGTCAAGAAACCGTACAGGCCCTAAACAGAAGCGCAGCTCAGGCATTGCTCAAGGCACAGGTTCACCTGGGGGTGTACGAAAAAGGGGGCCCTTGTCAAGATAGACCCCCAAATAGAAGGATCCCCTTTCAACAAGGACCCCAAGAAGGTACCCAAATTTCGGAAACAACCGCCAAAACCCAGTCTGCCTCTTGAGACACCCCTTTCTTTTCCTGGGAGTTGCTCTAAGCCCAAAAACCCAGAAGATTGGCCCAGAACCCGCAACTTGTGAAATGTTACACCCCGCACGCTCCTACTCTCGAGTCTTAGGGTTTAGGGTTTAGGGTTTTTTAGGGTTTAGGGTTTAGGGTTTAGGGTTTAGGGTTTAGGGTTTAGGGTTTAGGGTTTAGGGTTTAGGGGTTCGGGCCTCAGGGCTTAGGGCGTCATAGGCTCCAAGCAGGGTTTCTAAACCCTGAAACCCTAAACCTGATCACCCTGAAACCACCCCAAAAGCCCTAAAACCGCCCTAAAGCCCCAAAAGCCTCGAACCCTAACCCCCAAAACCCTCAAACCCTCAAACCCTCAAACCCTCAAACCCTAAAACCCTAAAACCCTAAACCCTAAACCCTAAAACCATCAAACCGCCCCCAAACCCGCCAAAACGCCCGAGAGCCCGAAAGGACCTGCTGCAGTCAAGAATATCGAGTCGGGGGTCGACGGCAAGCGGCTCCCGCATGCCATTGCAGCTTGCTTGAGCACGACGGGGTTTAGGGTTTAGGGTTTAGGGTTTAGTGTTTAGGGTTTAGGGTTTAGGGTTTAGGGCTGGCTTGAACACGCCGGGGTTCAGGGGCCTAGGTGGTTTAGGTTTTTTTTGGGGGTTTGGGGTAAAGCTCTGAGCATGTTAGGGAGGTTGCGGGGTTTTGGCGCTTCTGGTGTGCGACTTTGTTCGTGCAGGCTGGCGGCTGGCTTTTCGGGGATTCTTTCAGGCGTCGGCTTGGACCTCTCCGGTTTCGGAAATTCGATTATTTGCTCAAGAAACTCCCCAAAAACGCAAGAGACTAATCCCTGTATTGCCCTTATATGGAAGAATGTGTTTTTTTCTTTTTGGGGGTTCTTAAGCAAGTAGTGTTTTTTTTGAATTTCCTGAGCCCGGTTGCAAGTCGCTCTCAGGACTGGCGCACCTATGGCGTCATCTCGGAGGTGAAGAACCAGGACATTGCTCGGGGCTTCGTCAGCCTAGGTTTAGGGCTGGGTAGGCCCATGGGGAGGTCTTCCGGAACTTTGCATTTCCCCGAAGACAGTCCTGAACCCTAAGCCCCAGCAATGATGGAAGCTTAAGCTATTTGCCCAGGGTACTGAACACCACAGAGCAGTGTGATTTGGGCCTTATGTAGGGTACGTCCAAGCCTTCTTTTACGTACCCATGAACCTTCCAGCAGTACCGCAGCCGTTTCCCAAAATATGGGTACTCCTTATACGTATACCCAAAATGTACGAAGATCTCTTTATTAAGTACCTCCCCCTCCCATGAGAAAGCAAGCAAAATGGGTACCCTAATTTGGGAAACCCCTCAAGTGAGCCCTTCACATGTGAAAGCACGTGCAATCCCATCCCAAACCTTTCGGAAAGGGTTCGAAGATGCAGGGACAAAGTCTGCATGAAACGGGGTTTCGACTATAAGAAGCCCGAAGCCCTACTTGGCGGTTCATGGGTACTTTGAAGTAGGGTTAGAAGAACCCCAAGAAAGGTTATTCCCAGAGTAGCCATACCTATCAAGTGCTTGATCGCAACTCTGAGCAGGGTCACTGCGGCAGTTGTTGGGCACTCAGTTGTTCAATCCTAAAAGCCCTGGGGCCCTAAACCCTCCAAAGCGCGAAAACTCCTAAGCTCTAAATGGTCAGTTCTCTAAATTATGGTTCCTTTTTGGGACCATCCTAAACCCTAAAAACCTAAACCCAAAATCGAAGGGGCCGCCTTATGAAAGGACCCCGAAAGGGATCACGTTTTAGGGAGTGACCACATGCCTCGGTCATTTGGAACTTTAGAGGGTTTAGGGTGTAGGGTTTAGGGTTTGGGCTTTAGGGTTTAGGGTAGCCCAAACCCTAAACCCTAAACCCTAAACCCCGAACCCCCCCTCCCTTAAGAACCCTAAAAGAACTGGGCCATAAGGCATCGCTGCGTGAGAGTTCCTCTGAATCCCTGGCGGCCTTCAACCCGAAGACCGCTTGAAAGTGTTTTAGGGTTTAGGGTTTGGGGTTTAGGGTTTAGGGTTTAGGGTTTAGGTTCGAGGGTTTAGGGTTTAGGGTTTAGGGTTTGAGGGTTTAGGGTTTAGGGTTGAGGGTTCAGGGCCCAAGTCTCAAACCGTAAGACCGTTGAAGGGCAAAGACCCTACGTAACCTTCATTCAACCTTTTGGGCGTAAGTAAATAGGGTTTAGGGTTTAGGGTTTAGGGCTTAGGGCTTAGGGTTTAGGGTTTGGGGTGTTAGCTGTAAAGCCACAAGGCCCACAACCCTACTTGGGCCTTGAAATCTGAAGCCCACAAGACCCTAAACCCTACCTAAACCCTAAACCCTAAACCCTAAACCCTAAACCCTAAACCCTAAACCCTAAACCCTAAACCCTAAACCCTAAACCCTAAACCCGAAACCTAAACCCTAAACCCTAAACCCCTAAACCCTAAACCCTAAACCCTAAACCCTAAACCCTAAACCCTAAACCCTAAACCCTAAACCCTAAACCCTAAACCCTAAACCCTAAACCCTAACCCTAAACCCTAAACCCTAAACCCTAAACCCTTACGTAACCCTAAACCCCAAACCCTAAACCCTAAACCCTTAGCCCATGAAGCCCCAAGGTTGGGCTTTCTCCACTGCTGGCTGCCTCGAGGCCTTGCAGGGTCTGAGCAGAACGGGAGCCTGCTGTAGGGGTCGGAGCAAGTACGAATAGTAACCCTAAACCCTAAACCCAAAACCCAAAACCCAAAACCCAAAACCCAAAACTCTATTCTAATTTTTAAGGCCCCTACAGTACTGCTTTTTTGGGTTGAAGGTTTAGGCCTTAGAGCGCAGGATTTCGAATTCACAGGGTCCAGCATGGAGGGTTTAGGTTTGGTGTTGTAGTTCACGGAGGTTTCAGAACCCTAAACCCTAAACCCTATACCCTAAACCCTAACCCCTAACCCCTAAACCCTAAACCTCAAACCCTAAACCCTAAACCCTAAGCCCTAAACCCTAAACCAGTTGGAGGAGTCCGGTGTTGAGGAGACGAGGCTTCAGATGGGTGTTGGGCCTCTGGGAAATCCTCAGAACCCTTTGCAAAACCCTAAGCTTTGGATCTTCCCCCTTATACGAACAGTCCTTACTAGGGATTCCAGTGGGGGGGTGCTCTAATCCCTGTGAAGGACTTTTTTATAAGGCAAGGGGGAACATCCCAACCCTGAGCCCTAAACCCTAAACCTTAAACCTGAAAAGCCCCTAGAGCTCTCAGCCGTATCATTAACATTGAACTCTGAAGTGGAACCCTAATCCGCCATATAGCCCTAAACCCTATCACGAAGACCCCAAACCCTAAACCCCAAACCCCAAACCCCAAACCCCAAACCCCAAACCCTAAACCCCAAACCCCAAACCCCAAACCCCAAACCCCAAGCCCCAAACCCCAAACCCTAAACCTCCAACACCCCTTGAGGCGCACTTGGCCATCAAGTTCCGAGACACCTGGCACGCACCGCGGCTGAGTGAGCAGCAGCTCGTGGACTGTGCGCAGGCCCGGTTTCTGTAGGGTTTAGGGTTTAGTGTTTAGGGTTTAGGGTTTGGGGTTTAGGGTTTGGGGTTTAGGGTTTAGGGTTTAGGGTTAGGGTGTGGGGCTTTTGAGGCTGCAGGCCTTAGGCAGTTGAGGTTGCAGAGCCGAAACCCTATACCCCAACCCTAAGCCCCCGAAATGCAAAACCTCCATAGAGCTTAGAGGGGCTTCGGGTTTGGGGGCATTTGAAGTTGGTTCATTCGGGTTGGGGGGCATTTGAAGTTGGTTCAGCGGCTGCAACAGGTCAACAGCAAGCAGCAACGTGGAGTTCAGAATTGTGAAGAGATTAGAAAGGGGTCGGAAGAAGTACAAATAGTTTTCACGTAGGGCCCCTTTAGAATTATAATATAATAGCCCCCCAAAACCCGGTGCTAATTCTTCAGGCCCCTATATTGGGGCGTGTACGGGTATACGGTTTGCTATAGCCTTCTGCGGCTCAGAGACCAATTCCTTTCCCCGAACATTGACAAGCAATAGCCCAGCCAAAAGCACTGAGAAATCCCGGTCGAGAATGTAGGTATGTTGCAAAGTGCTTTTGGAGTGGGACTTCACCTTGGAACCTCAACAAACGTCCTAAATTAGGATTTAGAGTGTAGGGGCTTAGGGTTTTGGACCCGAAGCTTTGTACATTCTAAACCCCAGTAGTCTTGCAATCGACCGCCAGGCGTTCAACAACCATGGCTGCAACCTGGCCCTTCCATGCCTGCCCTTTCTGGGAGTTCTGCGCTTTCTTCGTGTTATAGGGTCGTCAAGGGAGGGGGGTTCATGGGGGGCAGGTACCTGGGGAACCTTACGGAGGCTAAGGGAGTCTCAGGGAGCCTGAGGGAGTAGTGGGCAACATGAGGGAACCTTGGGTTACACACCCTTTTTTAACGCCGCCCCACCCTTAAGAACCTCATACTTGTGTTTGTCTGCAACCCTATAGTATAAGTCTTAAAATTCAGCGTATTCATGTGAATTCATCTAACCCAAGGGTGGATTTGAACAAGTTTGCTCTGATTCTGGGGAAGGAGGGGGCTGCTTTTTAGGAGTTTGACAGCTTCCCTGGCCGGCATTCCCTAAATCCGAAGCCCATCACCCTTTTCCTTGAACCCTGCGTCCTCGGAAGGCACACGCTGATGCGTAGTGCTACAAAACTTAGACAATGTTTGGAGTTTTGAGACCCTAAACCTTAAAACGCCCTACAAACCCTATGAACCCTATAAATCCTAAACCCTATCAACCCTATAAACCGTATAGCCCCTATAAACCCTATAAACCCTATAAACCCTCTAAACCCTCTAAACCCTCTAAACCCTAAACTTTTAACACCCTGTAAACCCTTTTAAGCCCTAAGCTTCACGCCTTCGACGCCCTGAAGCCCCCTGCTCGAAGGCAACGGTGGGCTGCCCGCGCAGGCTTTCGAGTACGTCAGGCCGGACGGATGCTCCTGGCGGGTCGATAGGCCTGTAGAGGCATGCTATAACAACCCCTAACACCCTGTTCTAATTATTAGGGCCCCTATATTGGCTAAATGTCATTGGCGAGTTCTTGTTGTCCTTTGGAACCCAACCAACCCTACAGCTAGGGACAGGGAGCACATGAACCCTGCCATTGGGGGCGTAGACCACAATCTCTATCAACCACAGTCGATAAACCACATTTTTAGGTCCCTTTGAAGGGCTGTTTCCTGAAGGTGCCAGCTTTACATCTGGTCAGGGGTTCAGGGTTTCAGGGTTTAGGGTCTCAGGGTTTCAGGGTCTAGGGTTTCAGGGTTAGGGTCTCAGGGTTTCAGGGTTTCGGCTATTTAGGGTTTTAGGGTCCCCCTCATGCTTGGCGCCAAAGTCTAGAAGCCCTTGTGTCTCGCAGCTTACCCGAAGTCATGAAACGCGCTTCCTAAACGGGAGTTCACTCTAATTGCAATCAACAAGAACGTCTCTCCCTCAATCCTAAACCCTAAGCTCTACACCCTAAACCCTAAACCCTAAACCCTAAACCCTAAACCCTAAACCCTAAACCCTATGCAGGAGTTCCGGCGGGCTCTCCACGGAGTTCCACTACCCCTACTTCGCAGAGACGCGGAAATGCTCCTTCGAGGTCGGGCCGATGTGGGTATAGGGCTTAGGGTTTAGGGTTTAGGGTTTGGGGTTTGGGGTTTGGGGTTCGGGGTTTAGGTAGTTCACCTAGGGATACCATACGCAACTACAAAGAGATGGCAAGCTTCATCTCAAGGCTTCGAGGCTGCGCATGTCTCACGGAATTTTGTCTTTCAGACTCTGCCACAGCCTATGATATTCCGAAACCCCAAGCCCCAATTTAGGGTCTTTAGGGTTTAGGGTTTAGGGTTTAGGGTTTAGGGTTTAGGGTTTAGGGTTTAGGGTTTAGGGCCAAACCCAACATCCCCCACCCCTCCCACACACACACACACAGCCTCTGAAGCCTCCATTACAGGGTTCTTAAGGGAGGGTTTAGGGTTTAGGGTTTAGGGTTTATGATTTTGGGTTTGGGGCTTAGGGTTGGGGCTTAGGGTTCAGTCTTTAGGGTTTAGGGGGGGGGGGGGGTTTCAAGGGGGTATGAAATCCAAGGTTCCCTAATACTCCCCACTACTCCCTAAGGCTCCCTAAGCTTCCCTAAGAACGTTCCCTAGGTACCTACCCCCCCCCCCATGCCTCCCTTAAACAACCCTATGGCTCTACCCCCTCTTCATGAAACACAAGCTGAAATGCAGGGTAACAACTTCACCGAAGGCACACACTTCGCACCTTGGCGAGAAGTATGGGATCCTCTACAACCCCCACCTAACCCCCTTCCCCCCTCCCCGCAAACCCTATAAACACCAAACCACCCACAAAAAGACAAAGCCGAAGGTCCAACCAAAGGTCTAGGGCTCAAAGGTTCAGTGTTCTCCTACCCAAAACAAAGAAGGCCCAAATGACCTTAAGTTGCCAGCGCAATGGCGCCCTTTTGCGCTTTGTTTGGTTCCAGGTTCCTTTTTTAAAGTAACCAACAGCAAAAGGAGTAGCATTGTATTGTAATATGGCTACTGGAGTACAAAATTCTACTGAGTTTTGGGGGAATGTGAGGGGCAGGGTTGAGGTGCTTCAGGTGGGTTGACATTTAGAAGCCTGTGCTCCCTTGATCAAATTTTAAACCCGAATCAAAGCGCTAAACCCCCAAAATTCTCAACCCTTCAGACTCTATAACCCTAAACGCTAAACCCTCAACCCTAAACCCTAAACCCCAAACCCCAAACCCTAAACCCTAAACCCTAAACCCTAAACCCGCGCTCGCCAAGGAGCCTCGCTCGGCAGGGATTGGAGTCAAGGTGCCAGGCCAGGATTTGGGGGACCCAGGAGGCAAATCCAAGGCCTCTTTTCGGGTTTTGGGGTTTAGGGTTTAGGGTTCAGGGTTCAGGGTTCAGGGTTCAGGGTTTAGGGTTTAGGGTTTAGGGTTTGGGGTTTAGGGTTTAGGGTTTAGGGTTTAGGGTTTAGGGTTTAGGGTTTAGGAAAGCCCCTCAGGACCCGGAGCGGCCCTTTTTGGCTTTTTTTGGGTTGGGGTTCCCTTACAATCGCCTTGAAACCACAAGGGCACCCTTTTTATGCCTAGGTTACTCCTGGGTCTAGCCAGAAGCTCTACGAAAAATATTGCCCTGAAAGACCCTGAAGACCTTGTAATGACACCCTGAAAGCCCTGTAAGCCAAAAACCTTACGAACACTCTTGATTAAGAAGCCCTATGACTCGTATTGCGACTTGAGGGTTTGGAGGGATTGAGGGTTTAGCCTCTCAGGGTTTGGGATTTTAGGGGTCAGCCAAGACCCAGCGGTACCCGATTTGTTCTTGTTGTGGTTGGGTTCCCTTTAAGCCCCACGAAGCAAAGCAAGGTTTTGACTTCCCCAGGGCTTAGGTGTAGGGTTCAGGGTTCAGCCATCGACCTTTACCCTAACAGCTTCCGGAGGCTGAGACTCTACGCCCCGGTTTACAGGAGGTTGCCCTAGACCCTAAACCGTAAGGAGCAGGCCTTAGATTTGACTAGGCTTGTTCTTGGTAGCCCAGTGGTATGTTTTTGTTCTTTTTGTGGTTCTAGGTCCAGATTCTAGGTTCCCGCATGACGTAACCAATGCCAAAGAGGGTACCCTCATTGCAATATTGGTTACTGGGCTACCAGGCATTTAAGGTGCCCTAAACCGAGCTCGTTCGGCCGAAGAGTGTTGCGGAAGAGGCGGGTCAGTCAACCTCACAGCCGGCGACGAGGCAGCGCTGAAGCGGACGCTGGCATTGGTGCCTTGGTGCGGGTTGCTTCATGGTTAGGGTTTCGTCTTCGGGGCTTCAGGCTGTGTAGGCTTCGTCACAGGGTCTAGGTTGGGCCCGAAAAGAACAGAGGTCGGACACGCACCTCCAGGCCAAAACTTGGTCCAGTCTCCCAGGGAGCTACGTTCCAGGCTAGGTCCCCAGTTTCTTTTCGCGACCCTAAACCCTAAACCCTATAAACCCTAAACCCTAAACCCTAATTACGCCCTAAACCCTGAATCTTAACCCCTAACCCCCCCCCCCCAATTGACAGGCGTTCCGCTCTAAGGGGGCTTCTGCTAATACCAGTTCAGGGTTTGAGGTTTAAAGGTGTCGGATTTGGGGTCTATACCGTTTAGGGTTAGGGCCCAGGGTTTAGGGTTTGGGGTTTAGGGTTCAGTGTGTTGCCTGATGAAGACAGGAATGATAAGACACCGACCCGAAGCAGCTCCCAACCAAACATTCGACACACGCCCGAGCCCAAAGCTGCAAGGCCGCCAGACGACCCTACAACCTAAAGCCCAAGCCCTAAACCCTAACCCCCAGAAGCCCCCACACCCTGTGAACCATACGCCGGCGAGCTCAGAGCTCAGCCAAGATGATCCCTTTACCCTTTGCCCTGAACCCTAAACCCTAACCCTCAACCCTAGCCCCTGAAAGAACCCTAACCCTAGCACCCTACTAACACCCCAGCACTCTTTGCCCCTGAAACCCTTTATCTAAGCCCTAAACCCTAAACCCTAAACCCTAAACCCTAAACCCTAAACCCTAAACCCTAAACCCTAAACCCTAACCCCTCACCTGAAGCCGCACACAAAGGTCGGACCCGTCAGCGTGGCTTTCCAGGTGGCTGCAGACTTCCGGCACTACAGTGGAGGCTGGGCCTTGGGCTTAGGGTTTAGGGTTTGGGGTTTAGGGTTTGGGGTTAGGGTCTAGGGTCTAGGGTGAGGAACGTAGGGGTTCAGGGTTTCAGGCTTCACGGGCTAAGGCGTTAGGGTTTCAAGGTTAAGGGTTTACATTCGCCTTCTTTTGCATGACATGAATATGTATGTGTATCTAAATATTTTGAATGAATAGTAATACCTATACCTTGACAGTATTACATGGAGTATATATATATATGTACAAGTAAATTGGGGAGATTGTTGAGCAAAACTTATTTGGGCACAGGAAAAACCTTGCATGGACTCCCAAACCATACAGGGTGGGGCCCCCTAGTTATAAGTAGAGTTATAAGGGCCCTAAATTGGGTTATAAGGACCCTAAGTTAGGTTATAAGTCCCTTAACTACAGTTAGTATAGTAAGGGGGCCCCACCCTGTAGAGGCATCAACCCTCATCTGCTGGAGGTGTCTACTCTTCCAAGGTCTGCGCGGCGCTCAGAGACTGGCAAGCTGAAGCCCCGGAACCCCGAAACCCTGAACCCACCAACCATTCCATGCAATGTTTGTTGTGCTCGGAGATTGAAGATGCTTTTCCACCCCTCAACCCCTCAACCCTAAAAGCCAAAAAAACCCAAAACCCTAACCCCCACAAACATTTAAACCCAAAAACCCAAGACGCCTAAACCCTAAACCCCTCTGAACCCTGAACCCCCAACTCCCACCATCAACCGAGATCTAGGGTTTAGGGTTGAAACAGTCGTGTTTCGGGCTGGACAACGGGGGGTTTGCTGGCGCTAGCACGGCGCTAGCACCTCGCTAGCAAAATTTGCACGAACCTGGGTTTTCCAGAGGTTCGATGCCCCCCAACTCCCAAGCTTTCAACCCCAACCCTCAACCCGTCAACCTCAACCCAAGTCTCTTCCCCTCATATTGAGACATGTTGGCCCTGGGCGGGATTCAATACCAACTTTGGCTGCGTGACTGTTGAAACTCAACGTCAACCCTTACACGCCTGACAGAATACCTTCACGTTGTATTGTCGTGAAGAGGTGTGCTAGCACGTTTCCCAGGCAAACGTGGGTTTCAGATGCAAATACATCACTTTCCCATCTCCTATATATGGTAGGTTTTTTCATCTTGGACATGAGGGGGCCTTCAAGCACACGGATTCCACGACACATTGTGGATGAGTAGCATCTTGAGAAATGACCATATACACTACATACATCATATGGGCCCTTTCTTCGGATCCCTTTCAGCAAATGGTAAGGGGACATGGCCCATGGTTCCGACTCTTAGGGTAGCTAAGTCGCCCCACCCTTTAAATGTGGAACCATTAGATACTCCTGATATGGCCTAAACCCTACACGCTAAACCCTAAACCCTAAACCCGAGACCCTACAAGCACAAGGGCCCATACTTCAGAACCTTTTCAAGAAGGTATATAAGGGACCCTATACAAGGACCATGTAGCCCAACCCTAAACCCTTACATACTTCCCTTAGAATCAAGGCAAATCCGACGCTAAGGGACCATATCAAGGGCCATGTAGCCCTAAACCCTAAACCCTAAACCCTAAACCCTAAACCCTTAGATACTTCTCTTAGACAGAATCAAGGCAAGTCCGGCCCGGAAGATGTGAACCACGCGGTGCTGGCCATCGGCTACGGCGTGGATTCAAAGAGCGGAAAGCACTACTGGCAGCTTGGAATGAAGGGTTTAGGGTTTAGGGTTGGGGGTTTAGGGTTCAAGGGCACTAGGTTTAAGAGGATGATTTTAATGATTGTTTTTGAGAGGGTTGCGAAGGGGCATCCTATAGTGCTTGCGGTTTAGGGTCTGTTGTGGGCTATCGTGCGGCGCTACATCTCTGGGATACCCGCGGCTACCCCAAAGAAGGGCACCACCACATAACGAGCTCACCATACGGGCACATTCACCCTCTGAGTCGGTCTTCACATTGGCCCGAAGATCCACGCAATACAAAGCAACCCTAGACCCTAAACCCTAAACCCCAAACGTTTTGTCTTCGGAGAGGTTTCAGGCCTTCGGGCTTCAGGATGTTGGGCGCAAGACCCTAAACCCTAAACCCTCAACTCTAAAAGCCCTAAACCCTCAACTCTGAATCACAAGCCGGAAGACCCGAACAGCTTTCAACCCTGAACCCCTGAACATCCCCCCCCCCCCCCAACTCCGAAACCTGAGCCCTCAAACTGCCCTAAAACCCTAAAGCCCTAAAACCCTAAAACCCTAAAACCCTAAAACCCTAAAACCCCAAAACCCTAAAACCCTAAAGCCCTAAAGCCCTTAAGCCCTAAAGCTGCAGTTGAGGGATTGATTTTTGTTCGGTTTAGGGTCTGTGTTGTTTCGTCGGTTTAGGGTCTGGGGTTTAGGGTTTAGCGCTTAGGGCTTGTTTAAAGCTTAGTATTAGGTTTGATCTAGGGTTTAGGCTCAGGGCTTAGGGTTTATTAGGTTTCGGGCTCTTCAAGGGTTCGGGTGTTCAGCTCTCGTTGGTTAGTGCTTCGGCCCCGAACCCTGATATGAGCTTCGCGCACAAACAAGCCATGTCTTCTGCACATTTCTGGGGCAGGATACGTACTTTGGGGTTCCTGCGACAGGGCCAAGTTTAGGGTTCAGGGTTTAGAGTTTAGGGTTTAGGGTTTAGGGTTTAGGGTTTAGGTTTTAGCGTCCATCTACGAATGTCCTTATGTCCTTGCGGGAAGCCCTTAGCCCCCTCAACATGCCGCGCAGGCTCATCAAGAACTCCTGGGACTATGTTTGGGGCATCTGGGCAGTTGCTTAGAAGTACCCTTCAACTGACCCTCTAACCCCAGAACCCCAAACCCAAGACCCTACCCTGCGCCCGAAAAGCCTCAACCTGAAACCCGAAAACCCTGTCTTGGGCCAGCATAGGCGCACCCCCCCCCCCCTCCCCCCCCCCCCCCCCTCCCCGGGTTCATGGGGTTTTGGGTCCCCCCCCCACCCCTGTGGTTCATGGTCTGTGGTTCATGTGTAGAGTTCAGGATTTTTCACTCTGGTCCATTGGTGCATTGTGGGTTTAGAGTTAATCAGGGTTCAAGGTTTGGGGTACTGGTAGGTTTACGGTTTCCCCTCTCCCCCCTGTGGTTCGTGCTGAGTTTACGGTTCAGGGTTCGGGTTAAGCGGCTAAGGTTTCGGGTTTACCCTTTTGCCTCCTGTCGTTCATTGGTGGGTTTAGGTTTTAGGGCTTAGGATTCAGGGTGTGGGGTTTAGGCTGAGGTTTCTCTGTCCTCCCCGTGGTCCGTGGTGTTTTTAGGGAGGCAGGGTTTGGGGGGATACCATGGGGGGGGGGGGGGGGGAGGGTCGATTACGCGGAACGCGGGCGCATAGGGGCTTGTGGTTGTAGGGCTCAGGGGTTTTCGAGCTCCAGGGGCCCCGAATGAGGTCCTTGTGTTTCACATGGTGGGGGCTGGACTAGGGTTTCGGGTTTGAGGTGCCGCCCTCTTCTGGTACCCTGAGCTGATGCCGTTATCATTACTTGTCACAATTGTTGCTAGTCGTATTAGTGTTGGTTATGTAGTGTTAGGGTTAGTGTTTCGTACTGTTGTTATTGTTACTGTTCGTATTGGCAGTAGTGTGGTTGTTGTTGTCAGAGCTATTGTTACACTGCTTTGCTTATACTTGCACTTCATGTCTTGATGAGTTCTGCATGATGATTAGTATTGATCATTATTCATGTGATGTTATCACCAGATTCCTATATGTGTTAGTATTGTGCCTTACTTTGAATAGTTGCTTTTCTTGTTAAATCGTCTGTGGTGGTATTTGTTGATATTTGTTATGGTCAATTCCCAGATTTCTTAATGCCATTTATTCTCTCGTATTTTGCATGTGTAAATTTTGGGTTGTATTTGTTCATAATTGTTGAAGTCTTATTGCGTGTGAGGTAGGCTAGAAGAGGGGGTTTAGGGTTTCGGGTAGTGTCTAGTTAAAGGGATTAACGGAGAGACCCCGATGAGGGACCTTAGGGGTTCTGTTGGGGCTATTTAGGGGCTACTTAGGTATTTAAGGTATATAATATGTAGGGGTTTATAGGGAAATAAGATTAAGGCTCCCTTCTAGGTGTTCCTCC